GTATATGGACAAAAAATGACTGAGAAAGGGGTTGGCTTACACAATGTTTTTCTTCTTCTATCTTCCTTTTCACTCTTGTATAGTAAGTGTTGTATTATAATGTGTTTGTAAATTAATAATGAAATTTGTTAAGTATGAATAAACTAATTAGTTGATTACAAATATACTCGTTAACAAAACGTTTTGAATTTGTACTTTAGGTGGTATTTTGAAAATATGTTTTGTGTATATTTTGTACACCTTAGTTTAATCATTCTCAAAATAAATATTTTTGAAACATACTTTCAGTGGTTCATATATTTTATTATTTTATGCAAACCAGATATGCATTTTTAAGTCCCTTAATAATCTGTAAATATTTTTGTTAAAATTCCCAAACTACTTTAAACAGTTTATATTTCTTCACCTTTCTATTTCAGCATTATTTTCATGGCTCCAAACATCCCCACATTAACATTTTAGCAACAAACATTCTATGGCATATACACAACTGGTCCTTAACACTTCAAAAATAAATGTAAAAAAGTATCTTGATCCATTCATCTCTCCAAATATTATTGGTTTTCCTCAGTTCTTTAACTAAAGCAGAAGCTGTCTTTAACAGTGGTAAACTCTGTCAGGCATGCACCCATTCAAAGTGTCAGAATGTCTGACAAAGAAATTTAAAGTAAAACAAAATAAAATATTTTGAACTGGTTTTTGCTCATTACTTCTGTCTGCTGCTTCCTCAGAAACAGCATTTACTTTGAACTATTCCCGTCAAACAAAAAAATATGTTGGTAAACTGAGATTTCAGGTCAAGATATTGAAATAGGAAAATGTATGCAAGTTAGGTTGTGTTGTGTGGCATGTGCCTACAACATGTACTTGCCTGAGGCTAGATTTTACAAGGGAAATTCAGCCACTATGCTACATAGTTATTTTTGTATACAAACATTGGTTTCTTCTGGTTATTCAAATAAACATGAACATTACCTTACTGTCTGCTTAGTTCCTGTATGTGCTAGGGTTTAACATCCAAAGTGCCAGACATGTATATTTTGCTGTACAATAATGTAGTACATTTGAT